CATTTACAAATCTGCTTTGCATACTACTGCACTGCAAAACACCCCAAAAGCAAAATACAACACTATTGTTAGGTGAAAAGGACTGAACCCAAAGAAAGGGGGCGGGAAGAGGTAAGGTGAAGGGAGAGAAAGGTCTTATTATACAAGTGTGACTATATTTTAAAAGCTTTACATAGATTCCTTATAAGATTGTAGAACTTATTTTTAAACAGATGATTGTAAATATTTGGGGAGAAAATATAACTAGTAATAAGATGAAGTTAATATCACTGTATAAAGTATTTTAATGATTTGATAAATACTAATTTAATCCTCAGGACAACCTGATGATGTAGTAGTTTTATTGATCTCATTGTTCAGAAAAGAAAACAAAAAAAAAAAGATATAAATAACTTAAGGTCACGACTAGAAGGTAGTGGAGCAGGAATATAACCCAAGAAGTCTTCCTCCAGAATCCATGTTATAAACCCCTAAAATATATTGCCTTTCTTCATTTCAATTTTTTTTTTTCAGCAAAAACCTTTTTTCAAAGTCCTTATGATATCATTGTAAATTTATTAAATAAAAAGTGAGAAAAATATCGATTCATTCAGGGGGATTTGGGGTTACTTGATGAATTATACCCAAAGAGAATCAATTAGTAGAACATTTCATCCTATTAGGAATTCTCTAATGACAAGAAGAATTGATCTCTTGATTTATGCTGTTTATTTTCCTCAGTGATTTAAGGCAATACAAGTAATACATCCTTTTACAATTTGGAAATGATACAAAGATGGTATAAATAGATAATATGATAATTTAGAGTGTTAATATTTAAAAGTACATAAAGAACCTAAATCAATGGACTAGAAAATAAACAATAAAGATAAATGCAAATTCTTAACACAAATAAAAGATGAACTGGCTTAGAATTTCATGTCAAAAAGGTATGAAATTTACTGAGTCACAAATTCTATTAGCAAAACAGTTTTATGAATTATGATTACATTCACATGCTATTGTCCAAATTGAGGTTTATGTCACTACCAGTATCTCTTTACCGGCCAGTTGACTTTTAGAATTTCTATAATATTATATGGGAAGAATTTGAGAGAAAGTGGGTAATTTTTTTTCTTTAAAAAATGGTCAACCAAAAAGATTAATAAAAAAATGGTCAGAAAAAATTAGAATATTTGGTCTGGAGGAGAGAAACATTATAGGTGACCTATACAGTTAGATGACTGGAACATAGAAGAATTAATAGACATTTTTCTTCCAAAACATACAATAAAGTTAAGATAGCACCTATTGAGAAGAAAAATTTAAGTTTATTAGGAAATACCTTCCTGACTCTCAAATGCGCTAAAGATATAATAGGCCTTCTACAAAGGCTTAAATACATAAAAATGGGTGGTGAGATGCAGGAATTACTTATCCATCATTGGGGGAGCTGGATTATATAACAAATATCCGAAGTCTGTGTCTCTTCATGTTTTATGAATGTTAAGCAATAAAGATATATGGGTCTCACTGATACATAATAGACTCATACAAAGCTTATGATAATTTGATATATTTTTACAGACAGTGGCTATTAGCTGTTTAAATTAGAATTATTATTTTCTAAACAATATGAGCTCATTTTCTCCTCAGAAGTATTTCACTAAACTATCTCCCATAGTCCAAGACAATCAGCCAGCAAAAGTCTACATTTAATACTTTGGTAAACTCCATCATGAAGGTTTATGATAAAAGCAAATAACAATGTTATAAGGGCACTGTCTTCGTCTATATAAGTTTCTTTTGCTCAAGGCTTTTAATTTCTTTTTTTTTTTTCCAGTGCCAAATCCTAGGGCTTGAGTGTGTCTGAGAGGAGAGTTTAAGCTGCCACAACCGACCGAAGACTCTCGTGGGTTTGAGCTCATCAGAACACCATGCCAGGGCCAGCAACGTTTTTCTGTAAAGAACCAACTAGTAAATACTTTCTTAAGTTCTGCCCTGATATGTGGAAAAGGTTGTAAAAATTATGCAAATTAAATGGTGTGGCTAAGTTCCCCAAATTTTTATCTGTGAACACTAAAATTTGAATTTCATATAAGTATCGTGTGTCATGAAAGATTATTCTTAATTTGTGTACACAACCACTTAAAAGTGTGTTATCTTAACTCATGGGCCATGAAATTGTTGGCAGCAGGATGGATTTCACCCAAAGATGGCAGCTTCTGAACCCTGCTCCATAACTGGTACTGTGACGTGCATTTTTTTCTTTTTTTATCCTCACCCGAGGACGATTTTCCATATTTTGTTCAGATAGAGCAGGAGGGACAGAGAGAGAGAGAGAAACATCAATGTGAAAGGGACACATCGAGTGGCTGCCACCTGCACAACCCAACCAGGGCCAGGGACAAACTGCAACCGAGGTACGTGCCCTTAGCGGGAACCGAACCCGGGTCTCTCTGGACGGCAGGCTGATGCTCCAACCGCTCAGCCAAACCGGCCGGGGCCTGTTACGTCCATTTTTAAAAATAGGTTCATGAGAAAAATCACTGGAGCTCTTTTACCTCATAGAAATAGGTAACAGCAAAAAAATTTCAAACTATGTATCTCTGAGAGCTATGGTTTTGTTCTCTTCTGTCCTACAATTTGTTTTTTTGTTTTTTGTTTTTGCTATTCTCATTTAGGATGAATTTTCATTTTAATTCTTATCATTACTCAAAAAATGCAAATGGTACATTCCAGCATATGGACAATCTTTCAAGCTTATATTTTCCTTTCATAAGCTATTTCTCTTATGATTTTAGCAGTCCTTCCGACGGGGGTAAGTCTTCTTTGCTATTTAACATTCCACATTTAATCTGCCCTCATATTTCAAATCTTTTCAGGCAAACCAATTTGCAGGCACTATTCTAATTACCCAGTCGGCCCCATACCAATTAATGCAAGATAAGAATCAACCATTTTCTTTGGAGAAAATAAGAACTCCCCCAAATTAAATGGAACTGATATACATTAAGTGAGTTTACAAAATACTACTAGTGCTGTAAAGCTTATAATATATAAATTTAGATGGGTTGATTTTTTGTGACTTGTGTTCCCTAGTAGTTGGAATTCCAGAGAATCTATTCTTCACCTTTATTCCCTGAAGCCATACTCTCAAGTGTTTTCAGGTTTAAAAATATATATTAGAAATATTTACTACAAAATATTAGAATTGTCTCATGCAATTCTTGAAACATGTTTTCCTTTATAATCTTTACCTATCATCATCAAATTTGAAATAACATAGGCAATTACCAGCCTCACAGGAAAAGTATAAATAGGCCTCTCGGAATTTCCACAGTGGCCAACTGGACTTCTCTTTCATGTTGGCAATTTGAACTAGCAGCTTTATTTTCTCTAATCATCCTCAATTACAGCCATTGTTTCCTAGTTAGCTATTAGCACCATTTATACCACCACCACATTCAAAAGTCCATAAATTCCTTTAATCTGTCTGTAGTTAAGTTACTGAAAATATTTGCCCCAAGAGACTAGAAAGTGGGCTATAACTATAACTCAGGAGGTGTTGGCACACATTTCAAAACACACTTTTTCCATATTTTCTCCCTTTCTTCCTCTCTCCTCCCCATTCCTGACTTTAAGAAACAACAGGAATGCTGACTTTCTAATAATCTACACTCTTTTCTAAAAACACCTTCCAGAGGAAACGTAACTGCTTCCTTCAAAGATTATTAAAGGAAGCTTCATTATCTAAGTATTCTATTAACATTAGATATAGCACAAACTATTTTATAAATATATGGGACATTTTTTACAATTCAATTTTTATTAAATTTATTGGAGTGACATTGGTTAATAAGATTATACAGGTTTCAGGTGTACGATTCTATGAGACATCATCTGTATATTGTGTTGCGTGTTTACCACCCAAAGTCAAATCTTTCCTTCCATCTAAAGGGCATCTTGATTGCTACCAAGTTTTGGCAATTATGAAAAAAGCTGCTACAAATATCCATATGGCAGTTTTTAGGGAGAGGTATGTTTTCTATTCATTTAGGTAAATAGCAAGGGACTGATAAATATCATGCAATCCACAGACTAAGAGTATGTTTAGTTTTATAAGAAACCACAAAACTGTCTTCCAAAAGGGCGACACCATTTTGCATTCCCACCAGCAATAAATTGGAATTGTAGGAGAGCTTTTTATTTAAGACATGCCTTAGAGGACCTCCTACATTCAAGTGCATTATATGCAGGAAAAAAGAGGTAATAGTTGTCAAAGAAGAATAATGCAGCATGAGGCATCTTACACTTAGCTTAAAAATTATTTTCTGACAATATATTTAAAGCACTTTGATTTAAACACACATATAAAATGACACAAATGAAAAAATATACATACACCCATAAGAATATACACATACCTCCTGAGAGAGATTGTGTGTATATATACACACATGTGATGTTTGTATAATAATAATGTTACCTTCCACTTATAGTATACTTTTAAATGTATTTCAGCTTTCATTTTTATCATTTTGTTTAGTTTTTACACGTACACTTTTTAGATATAGTATACAGTCAGAAAGACTGGGTTACATGCTCAAGGCAGCACAGCTAGTAAGCGGCAGAACCATAATTTAACACTTCTGGTTTTCTAAAAACAAACCAGATACTATTTTCCACATCTTAAGATCAATAACACCACATGCACATACACACACATGCATGGACATGCAACCATACATGCAAACACACACACAATTTTAAACACATCATTTAATTTCTTATGTTTACCTCTCTTAATAGATACAATAAAGAACTTGAATTTAGCCCAGCCTGCCTAAATATTGTACCCCTGGCTCTAACTACTACAAATGATATTTTTCTTAATTTATTTACTATAATTTAATGTGCTGGACTTAGAATTACTTGTGGAATAAGAAAAATAGATTAAGAAATGGTGGATTAAGATGGTGTTTGGTGTAAGCCAAAACAATCCTGTGAGAAACAATTACCTTAATAACAGATGTCTCAACTCTGGATGGGGGACTCTGAACCTGTGCTGCTGCCGCCATATTTGCAATGGTGCTGAGATGGTTCATCTGGCTCATCGCCATGGTGACAGATGCTGGAGGTAGGCTGACAGGAATTAGAGGATGGGGCATCATCATAAAAGGAAGTTCCAGTCCTATAAAAAATATACATGTATCATCATTGCTCTGGTCAAATCAAACTAGGAAACATAGTATATCCCATTTATTAAAATGGTTAAAAAGATACATCATTGAAAATTGCACCTTCCAAAGATATCCTAATAGTGACAATCAAATGAGAAATATGTTCCCTCTTTGTAGGCAACCTAACCCACTCCCTACTCAGGGAAATTAAGCTTCCAGCTAACCAGGTGGTGCCATGTCTTATCACATCACCAGTCTTCATGTGTGTAATATAAATGTTTAAGTCTTTGCTAGATTATTTTTTTTGACCAGCCCAATTCTTGTTTAAAATACTAGGGTTTTCTTTAACTTATCACAATTCATTTTATCATTTAGTATGTCTTTATTATGTCATATAATTAGATTTTTTTGGGTTTGCCATTACCATTTTTAGTGCTAAAACATCCCATCATACCAGTTGGCAGAAGGCTCTGCGGAAGCTGGTGGAGAAGCCAGCTACCTGGAAGGGTATGGCTCCTGGCATGGGGGTGGGGAGTAAGTAACACAAGCCTGAGTTCCCTAGGGAGAGAGAGTACTGTTTCCTCATCCCAAGAACCATCATTCCTGCCTGGGGGGGAATGAATATAAATTATTTTGTTAAAATAGTATTCCAAATCTTCTAATGACTAACTTGAAATGAGCTTTTTAAAAGCATATGACATTTGGAGCTTGGCTAAGTGATTTCTTGGGAAATAAGCTGAAGTAAGTCAATTCCCCCTAAACCCTATTTTCTTTTTGTTTTTCTATTCCTTAGATAGGTTCTCAAAGTTGTTGAAAATAACATTTCTACAGTGGTTACCCTGTTTGCAGCATCTAATCCTGTTTGACTGACCATCTTAATGTAAAATGTAAAATGGGCTCTGTTATACACCTAGAGAATTAATGAGTTTTTTGAAATGAAGCGCACTGATAGCTACAGAAGGCAAAGGTATCCTTGTATTAAACAGCATCCTGGTCACCATTCGGAATTAAAGTTCCTTATTGAATTCCACAGCAAATCCTAAATATGGGAGGGTTAAATGCCCAACTTGGTTAGACATAGTAGAGAAACCAAAAGATCACTTTACCAACAAAAAAAGATAATGTTAAAGAAATATATTAAATGTGTGTGAATCAATAAACACATCATTTGTTTTCAACTAAAGAGAAACAAATGTTTATGATAGTGTTAATGTCAGTGCCAATGTCAAAATAGTATGTTCCAGGGCTTCCATTTCAATATTGGTAGCCAGGCCATTTCAATTTTGACGTCCCCAAATTAAATTATCTTAACACTAATTTATCACTTAACTGAATCTGTCGAATATATGAAATACCCACTTAAAAATGTTTTGTAATATCCCTGTCAGCTTAGAAGATTTCCTTCATTAAAAAAAAAGAAACCATATTTTTATATAATATGCTTAGAAACAGCAAAGTTGGTAAAACTCCAATTTAAATGCTTTAGCTCCATTAAAAGTCTCATTGTAAAATCTCTACGACACAGTTTTTAATGAAGAATACTTAGTTACTGCCATGATTTTTTTCCATTTACTTCATGAAGACAGTTAAGGTTCAATATAAATTCAAACTCATTAGCTCAATACTGTCTGAATCTTAGACTAAATTGTTCAGAAGTGGATAATGAAAATTCAATTCAAATTCTTCAGCAATCAAACAAAGCAATTTTATTAAACAATAAAAAGAATCAATTAAAATGGATATCTTTATTATCTTTATTATTTTATAACAGACCACGACAGCTTTTGGCATAAAAATAAGTTTATAGCTTCATACAAAAATGGCTCACATACATAAAAATGATTCTTCCAGCTTGTTCCTATATTGTGATATAAAGGTTCAATTTCATATTCACAAATTTATATACCTTATTTCTCTACTCATGACTTTTTTGACACTTATACCAAGGTCCTAGTCAAATGTGCAAAAACTATAAATGTATAAAAATTTTAAACATACAATGTCAAGAGAACATTCATTGATAGAACATTTTAAACATTCCACATTACATTACCTTTACCAAAGTATATGCAAAATATTTCATTACATGTTTACTTTTTATGTTATCAATTAAAACAAGAACTGAGGCATAATCACTGACTATTTGGATATAGAAATAACACTGAATAAATGTTATTTGAATATGAGAACTGCATTTGAAATGTATAATATATATTTTCTCTAATGTTATATTTCATTTAAAATATCCAACAAATGCAAGGATTACATTTTTGTAATAGATTGCTTATTTGAAAATAATTGATATATGGAGTAGAAAATAACATTCATATTCATTACTTTAGACTCAGTTTAACTTCTGGTTATAGCTAACACTGTTTACTTGAACTAATTTCTTCTTTTATTTGAATTTTGATTGCCAGTTAATAAATAAGAAAAGTAATTTTTTTCCAAATGTATTTCAGTTTCACTATTACATTAACAGGGAAGCGCTATAATTCTACTTATTCACATTATCAAGGTGACAAGTATTAAACTAAAATTCCTATTAAATCATTCTGGAAAAAAGATTACAGACAAAATACTATCTGTTTTCACATCTATTTTGCATCATAGGTTATCAGGCCCTTGTGCAAGGGTAAATTATAATTCATCTATATGTGAATTTTCCATAGAAAGTTTCTAACACTAAATTGAATTTTCGTACTACATAAAATGTTCCTAGCCATCTCCACCAATCATCATTTTTAAGTACACATGAAGTTAATTCATTTGGGTAATAAATAGAGCAAACAATGAAATAACTAAATCTAATGAAAAATATACAATATGTAACCAAGTCAGCTGTAAGTGATTTTTGCATTATTTATAACACCCATTTCCTCTATTAGCATGAATAAATAACAATTAAAAGTAGGCCACTTCAGAACAGAACAAGTCCATAGTTATTTAATGTATAATTTCAAGTGCTTTTGTTTAAGCCAAAATATTTAGTGACATAAGCCAGCCAGCCAGACAGACATACCTTTAAGATTAAGGTTTACTATTATGATCACATGATAACTTGCAGAAGACAGAAGATTCAATATATATAAAAAATCTTTCAGTATGTGGTAAGAGTGCTAAAGAGAAACAGAAAGTAACTGATTCATTGCTGCTCTTTGAGTCTTATGGAATCATACCGTTTCTCCTCACCATGGAATAAAAAGACAAAGTATAGCTCTAGTATCGTCAAAAAGCATGGACTATAATAGGGTATTGAAGCATATATGAAAAAAACTCACAAAATATCATAAAAATATATAATTGTTTTGAGCCAAAGGAAATGGTTATCAGCTCATGAAAAGATTCAGAGAGTGCATCTCCTTCTCTGAGAATTTAGAATCTATAATCATATTTTAATGTTGAGGCGAGGGCACTAAGGGATGGCCTATGTCTGTCCTACAAACAGACGTAGAACATTGGGACAGTCTTAGCTAGACACCTGCTTACACTGAGGTCGGCAGGTCTGCAGAACACACAGACAGACAGACAGACAGACAGACAGACAGACAGACAGACAGACAGCTTCGATACAATGACAGCAGAACACAGACAGTTTATATGATGAGCCTGAGCAGTGTACCCAGACGCCCCACGAAGGCCAGCTACTACTACTGCGGCATGACTTTGGCGGGGGATCTGAACAAATGCGCTCTTGCAGCGACCAGATACGAGTCGGTATATGAATGCAAGAGAGAAAATTGTAATTAAGACTGACTCCCAGTTTGGTCTCTCACTAAAAACTATTAATTATGCATTTACATAATCTGGAAAAATGTATTTACCCAGCCTAATTATACTGACATTATGAATTTATCAATAATTACATATTCAAATATATGGGACTTATATACAAAAAGTGATTGCATGTGCTTAGTTTTTCCCTTCAGGAAAACATATGTATTCTTCAAGGACAAGCAAGGTGATCTTAAATTTAGTGTAACTGAAATTCAAAGTTGTAAGGATGATGTATGGCAGATTATCTCCCCCTTATACCCCCAGCACCCCAACATTAAATCATGGTTATAGATTCTGAAAAAGCGAACGATGTGATACACTATGACTGTCTTTTTATGATCTCTGAGTGTTTTCCTTGGCTCGCCCCCATTTTCTATTTGTATTGCATCTCATGATGCATATTTTACGGTGGGCCAGGATTAAAGAGAATAAAGACATCGCTGCTCTAAGTAGAACCAGATTACTGAACGGTCAGAACTGATAGGGTACAAATATACAATAGTTTTATTGTTTCCTCTAATTATTACCTTCAAGCATGCTCTGTCAGGGTTCCCTTTTCTGCTTCTTAACAACCGTGAGCAGATTTTGAGTGTTCTAGTTACCACTCATCTCTGCTTCGCTGTCCCCATCAATACTGGCCAGCACTGGAGCCTAGGCACCCGGAACACAGAGGGGCTGGGTTAGCTCTGCATCTGTCCTCCTCCTCCACTCCTTCTCCTGGGCAGTGACATAAAGGTCTTCTGTCCAGCTGGCTCCTGCTCAAGTCCTGCCTGCACTGTCACTTCTATGGCTGAGCACATTGGTCTTTGAGGTGTCTCAGTGCTAAGAATCCCCTGCTAAGTACTGTCTGGTCCGTTAAGGGAGGTTCTCCAGGGGAACCTCCTACCTGCACAAGCCCCTTTAGCTTCCTGATCTTCAAAGCCCCTAAACTGACCCTTCTTCTGGCATGGTTCTTACTATTCTGATGATGTCCACTCTCTCTATCCTGCACCTTTTCTCAGTTCTTTATCACCCTGTTCAAATATGTCCAAAAAAAAGAAAAAAACAGATCAGCAGTTCACACCAAAGCAGAAGTTCCAATATAAAATGCGGCACTTGTGACCCTTGAATAATTCTCTTGGAACGCCCCTCCCTTTACTTGGGGTAAGGAAGGTGTCTGAAAAAGGGATCGCTGAGCCCCAGCCCTCCCCATTAGGTGCTACAATGAGTTTTTTTCAAATCCTCTCTTCCTGCA